GCCACTGACGTGGTGGCATTACTGCTATGCAGCCTTCCAGAGTCATACAGTGCTCTTATTAACACACTAGAAACCAGACCTGAGCAGGAACTAACACTAGAATACAGCAAAGGAAAATGAATTGATGAATATGCCAGAAGGAAAGAAAATATGCACAACAAACGCAGTGAAAAGCTCATGCAGCATTCTTAGTTGCAAGCGTCCCACGCATTTTACCAGGCGTTTCGGGTGCCATTAACAAGTGTTGGTGCTGCAAGCGCAATGCATGTTTTGAACGTACTGCATAAATGCGCGCCAGAGCGTGAACAGAGCCCGAAACATGCGGTTTAATTGGGCTTTTAAAGGAGAACTATGGGGTTAGGGCTTTTCCCCATAGTTCTCCTAAGGGTAACGGGAGGACACAAACTAGCGTCCTCCCGTCACCCAAAGCTCAGTATACCGCGAGCTACATCTCGCGGTATACTGAGACCGCCGCAGCCGGAACAGATCCCGACAATTATGTCTGGATCCACCCAGCTGCGTGAGTGACAGCAGGCTCTGCCTATCTAGAGGCAGAGCCAGCTGTATCCGCCCCCTCACCCGTCTGTTCCGCCAGTCAGCTCTGGAGGATCAGACAGGGTAGAGGGGAATCCAGTCCCTCACCTGTCACAGCTCCCTGCCGGCACAGGATCGAGAAGTGAGCGAGCGCCGGTATGTGTTCGCTCACTTCCCGATCTACTGAGCCGACCTGTGACAGTCTCATTGTCACAGGTCGGCTCAGATTATGAGGCTGAGTGAAAAGCACTCACCTCATAATTCTCCTTTAAGGATATTATGCTGACCCCTGATGGGACCCCCCACCCCCTGGCCTATAATACATTGTCTGGTGACACCTTCCCTTATACTGCAGCTTGTGTAACACTCCAAAAGTCAAATAGCATCAATAATACACATTACACAATATATATGATACAACCAGGACCGACTGTATTATGTCATCGGTGAAAACTAAGAGCCAAGGCTACTTCCAGGGACAGACCTTCCGAAGGTTCGGTGTCCTGTCAGCATGTAGCCAGTATTGTGTACACACTCCATGGTCATCACTCACCCACATGCATGGACAGCCTCAGCTCTTCGTTCAGCCACTGACAGATAATGTCGGACATGTTGGCGGTATCAGAGGGCCTCTCTCCCCGGGATCATAGCGGTGATAGTCGGTGACCGGCTCTCCTCTGGCGGCTTTCAGTCACACAGCAGCCATGAAGCTGCCGGGCCGCGTCCCGTCTCCATGACAACCGGTAGTCATGCAGTTGTTACCACGACAGCGTTGTGCACTAAAGAGATAGGCGCTGTGCTGAAAGGGGCTGCTGTCCTGGAGCGCCACCTGGCGGGGGGTTGTAGAAGCCACAAAAAACAAAACTAACTGCAGGTGTAGGAGGAAAGAAATGAGGAGATGCATCTGAGGAGTCCTGCATGTGTCATCCTATTCCCTTCTTCCTGAATAAACTGTATCTAAATTGTATCTAAACCCAAGAACAAAAATAGAGTATATTGCAGTTTCTAGGCACATGTGCCCGGGGCTGTATAATGTAGAATGTGTGTGTATTTCCTCACCTAGAAGCCACAGGTGCTCTGTAAAGCCGCCCATAGATATCAATAGCAGTATGAGGCTGTATGTGGGTATTTGCTGGACTGGCTGTTTTGGGGGTTGCATGTCTATGTGCATGTGTGTCCTCCTGCAAGTCATGCGTATACAGCCATTGATTTACAGAGGCTCCCGGATGGGGAAATTTGTTCAGATTTCACATTATATAGCTCCGGGCCCCTGTGTCTGAAGCTGCATATTGGCGGCCGTATGCAGCATCTGTGGCTCTCATTCAGGAAAAAGCACCTGCCATTTATGTTGTTCGGTCCCAGGCGTCTGTGTGCATGACCTCTATCAGTCCAGAAATGTGGCAGCTGCATTAGTTTTCTTTTTTCAAGATTTATTTCCTTTATTGCTGATCCTTCTTCTTAGGGTGACAATGCTCAACCACTGTACTTTGTCTATAGAGGAGCATCGTTTTCACCCTAAAGGTGCCCATACACCTTGAGATTATCATACGATAATCACGGGAAATCCTGCGATCGTACGATAATCGCAAGGTGTATGCAAGGCGTGCAACCGTTTCTACTGTACGGATTGTCGGCGGGTTAGTGCCGTTCTCAGGAGAGAAATGCCGAACGGGCCGGTGTGCGCAAGCGCACACTGCCTGTTCAGCATTGCAGTCATCAGAAGCCCACCCCTCAGGGGGGCAGGCTTTCGATGATCGCAAGTACGATCTGCCTGTCCAAGATGGGCAGATTGTACGAGCTTTTAATTAGCTGAGAACCATTGCAAGACAACAGTCTTGCGATGGTTGTAAGGTGTATGGGCACCTTTAAGGTGCCCATACACTGCACGATTCTCGTACGAGGGATGTTGAATTCCTATCTCCCGATGCCCGGGACATGCAGTTCTGGGCACCTGACGGGTAGTTGTTGTCTTCTACATTTAGCCCTGCTTTGGGCAAGCAGAGCTAAATGTACAGCGGGGATACCGCCGATTGTTTTGTACAAGTCATCCTGGTGATGTCACCAAAATCACTTGTATGCAGCCTGTAGGTCTGCCATTCTCTATTGGGGTGGGGGGGAGAGGGGGGGGTTGGTGGGTAGGGGGCGCATTGTGGAACCTGGCCTTGGGGCAGCAGAGAGAGTAAATCCGGCCCCGATGATAGGTTGATGGGTTGCCCCGATGATAGGTTGATGAATTGGAGCGGAGACTGTGAGCTCGGCCTTCTTGTCCAACATCAGTACCTGACCTCACAAATGCGCTTCTGGAAGAATGGTCAGACATTCCCATAGACTCACTCCAGAAGAGTAGAAGATGTTATAGCGGCAAAGGGTGGGTCAACTCAATTTTGAACCCTACGGAATAAGACTGGGATGCCATTAAAGTTCATGTGCGTGCAAAGGCCGGCGTCCCAATACTTATGGCAATATAGTGTATCAATAAATAAGGGGAGGAGTTTTGGATGTATTTCTGGCAGAATCAACAAATAGTCTTCTGCATTCACTGATTAATAGATATAATAAAATGCTGTTAATGGTATATTTAGCAGACCAAAAGAAAGCAAATAAGGAGTTAATTGTTAAAGAAGAACTCCAGGCAAAGCTTTTATTGATCCTTGCAGTGGGACTACCCCTGCACTGCAAGGATGACCTGCTTGAAGGGGGGGGGGTTGGTGCTGGAAAAAAAAAGTTATATTCCCTCGAACCACTGAGCTGGCTCCCTGCTTCTCTGGTCTCTGAAACCTGTCTCCCTTCTGCTGCAGCATTGGAATGTTCCTCAGCATCCTCATGTCTACATACTGTGTATAGAACATGATAATTTATCAGACTGCTGCAGGGATAGCAGAGAGAGGCTGGAAGGACCGGTCTAAGAGCAAGCCGGCTCCACGGTTCAGTACAGAACAACTTTTTTTTTTAGCACCTAGACAAAAACGAGCAGTTGAGGGGGTAGCCCCACTGCAAGGGTTAATAAAAGGTTTACATACACTATAGTTTTAATAATAAAGTTCTTGCATATGTTGCTGTAATGGAGACATTCACTGGTCTTGTACAGTTGTGGGTCAAGCAGAGTTTGGTGCCTTGCTCTGGGGTACTTCATTGGGATCATCCAACAGATTGCTTTGAGTTGGGCCATTGTGATGTCTCAACATACCCCAACGTCGTGTACATCTGCAAAGGCTCCTTGGAGCCATTTTTGTCTGCATAAAGCAGAGATAGAGGAGCAGATGGAGAACAGCCGTGCATTTTCAGGACACGAGTGTAAGGGCATGGTGTAGGAGCCACCAAATAAAACAAGTGGGAGATTAATGATGGCAGCCAAGTTGGGTCCCATCATTGGAAGGCTGGCTGTTGAGAGTCAAGCTGGTTCTATCGTGGAATATGCACACAGTGACTGATACTGACTTTCGTCTGTTCTTTAGTGGGGTAGCCTATTACTGCAGGTCTGTCCAGAACAATAGTGGTAATGTGAAGATGATAGATCTCACATTATCTCCCGGTCTTCTGTGTTCCAAGCTGGCCGAGTGCAGAAGGTTCAACGGGGCTACCAGGGGTACCAAATGGCCGCAGCCGAGTCAGGGCCCCAGGAGCCCGTTCTTTCCTCAGCTGGACCTCTGGGTCTTCCAGGCCAAGTTTGCAGAGTGGCAATTTGTCTCCCCACTTGGCCGCAGCTGGGTCAGGGCTCCAGGGTCCACGTATAAGCTCTGCCACGGGGCCAGAACTCCTGGCCTTCTGTACCAAGCTGGCCAAGCGGGACCTCCTGCTTGGATCGCGGACCTGGGTTACCAGAAGGTCGCGGCCGGATCAGGACTCCAGGAGCCTGGCCGGGCCTCAGCCGGTCCTCCTGTTCTTCGGGGCCAAGTTGGCTAAGTGGGACTTGGCCCAGGCTCAGCCAGACCTCCTGGTACTCCAAGTCAATTCGCCTCCTGCTTTGACAGCGGAAGAGTCACCAAGGGTACTGAGGAAGCCTTATGGCCGCAGCCAGGTCAGGGCTCAAGAAGTCTGCCCTGGCCTTAAATGGACCTGTGGGCCTTCCAGGCCAAGTTGGCCAAGCGGCACAGCCACAGTCAGGTCAGGGATCCAGGCGCCTGGGCTCAACCATACTGCCCAGTCAAGCTGGCCATGCGAGACTTCTTCCTGCTCGTTCGGCGAAAAGGTCACTGGAAGTACTCAATGGCCGCGACTGGATCAGAGCTCCAGGAGCCTGCCTGGCCTTGGCTTGACCTCCAGGTCTTTGGGTCTCTCGCCCTTCCCATTACAACATTCCTTCCCTTCCTTTACCCTTTTCCCTTCCCCTCTTTACTTTCCTACTTCCTCTATTTATATCCTTCCCTCCCATGCTCACCTTCCCACCCTACCCTCCCTCTCTTTTTTTTCCATCCCATCCGCTCCCCACGTCTTCCATTTTAATTTCCTGTCTTTCATACCATGTCCACCCTATATTCCCTCCCTCACTTGGCAGGTTTAAAGTGACATTAAACCCTCAGATTTTTTAACATAAACCAATACTGTAATGTGTGCCTTACTGTAATCCATGGTGGTTTCCCTTTTCTTTGCTGCTCTTCCTTTTAAATCCTAATCTCTTCTCATGCTTGGGGAGAACTTCCCTTTGCAGCTGAGTGCCTCTTCCTGTAGTGCTGGCTCAGGTTGTGAACCTACACACAGACACCATGTATCCATTTCAGAGACAAGGCAGTCTGCTGCAAAACAGAAGTTCTCCCCAGCATGAGAAGAGATGCAGATTTAAAAGGAAGAGCAGCAAAGAGAAGGGAAACAACCATGGATTACAGTAAGGCGCACATTACAGTATTGTTTTATGTTAAAAAATCTGAGGGTTTAATGTCACTTTAAAGTGTATTTCCAGGTTTGCAGCCAAATTGGGCTAACACCTACTGTACTTTATATTTGTTACATGTTTTTCATTCACATAACTTTATCTTTTTGAGTTTTGCTCTGGACCCCTAATGAGATTGTAGTCCTTCATGGGACCCCCTGTGGGCAGGGGCACTTTTTTGCATCTGGGTCCCCCCCTGTAAAAGCACCCTCCCCATGTTGAAGGCATGTGGCCTGGTATGGTGCAGGGAGGGCGTTCACTCGTCCCCCTGTCCCCCCCTTTTCTGCTCTGCCAGGCCAGTGCTCGGATTAAGGGTCTGGTAGGAATTAGGGGAGACCCCACTTTTTTTTGGCATTGGGGTCCTCCTTAAAATTCCTTCTAGACCTAAAGGGCTTGGTATGACGTTTGAGGGGAACCCCACACTTTTTTTTTCTTTGACATTGGGGTCCCCCCTAACATTTCTATCAGACCTAAAGGGTCTGGTATGAATTGGGAAAGGGGGGGGGGGGCATGCCTTTTTTTATGTTGCTTCTCCAGACTGTTTTAAGAAAAAAAACACAATGTCACTTTGCTGCAACGAAAATTTGTTCGGAAATACTCCCTCATCCAGGAATCGACTTTCGAACCCGAATCCCAAAAAACAAAATAACGAAAAATCCGAAACGAAATGAAGCAAATATTTTGTCAGCTTACATGTCTATTGTTCAGGCACAAGGAAAGACTTTTCCATCCACAACTTTTAGCGTGTGAGGCGCTGGCCAGAGCATTCCAGGTTGCTAAGAGCTGGGTAGGGAGATGTGTAAGGGCCATACAGATCTCTCTGCCCCGGCTCTTAGC